TCATTTCCCATCTCACCTAAGAGCTGCTCTCCCACAGCCTTCTTTCTAGTGCAGCACCAGGCTCTTTGCCCAGTTAATGGTGCTACAGTTCCTTGGATAATCAGCAGGGGGTATGACTCTGACAAGCAGAGCAAGTTTTTTCGCCTTAGTGGCAGACTGACCTTCATGCTGGGCAGCATGCCGGCACAATGCAGTCAAAGCATTACTACCGTCACACTGACTGAGACATTTAAGCCAACATGTGGCTTTAAAGGTCTTCACAGTGTTGTAGTAGGGCCACATAAAAGCTGATAAGTTCCACGCAGAGGCAGATCATCTGAGATGTCACTGGCCCAATGTGCCAGGATGGTGGGGTTGTGGAATTAGTCTCCTTCCTTACTGTGTGACATGCATTTTCTTCCTCTCCCCAAAATATCCTTTGCTGCCTTCATCCCCCTTGCTCTGTTCTCTCAGCAATCTCAGTGGAATTCAGGTGGGCTGCAGTCATTAAAGCTGGTCTCTGAATACCCTGTTCCTATCTCTGCTCCAAAAAGGGAATTTCTAAACACATATGGAGTTGAATTTGGGAGTCTTTCATCCTAATTTTAAGCATTTCTCTTCCTGGGTTGAAAATTGGCTTTTTTTTTTCCAGTGAAAGAGGGTGATAGGAAAAAGCTGGAGCCCTCTGGCCAGTAGAGAAAGGGCTGGTCTATGTACTCACACACTGGCTCTGAGATTGCTATACTGGGTTTAGATCACACCTTTGGTTATTCTGGGGCAAGCTTGTGTGCAGGCCAGGCCAAAGTCTTCCAGGGTATTCGGTGCTAATGTCTGAGTGAAAATCCCTCCCAATCACAGCTGAGTCTGCTTTGGATTAGGTTCCTCACAGCCATCTCTGTCCATTTCCACACCCCCATCTCTGAACCTGGCTGAGCTGAGAGTGTGGAATGCACCAAAATCTACTCATATGCATCCAGCATGGTCATCCCTGTGATCCTGTAATGCAGAGAGGGACCATTTAGGGAGACAGACAGACAAGAGCTTATTGGTTCCATCTCCACCACATCCCCACATCTAGCTGGCACAACTTGACATGGAGAAACAGTCAGATGGGAAGTGTGACCCCTTTGATCTCTCTGGCATTGTGTACTGTAACCCATTGTCTAACCTTGTGGTGCTCTCTCTCATTCTCTTTCTTATAATGGCAGACCTTTCATCCAGTGCTGAGCATGGAGCCCTTTGTCATGAAATAGTGAGTGGCTTTGCTGGAAAGGCCCTTGGGGCGGTGGTGGACTCCCCCATCATTGACTGATGTGGTGTCTTGGCTGGCAGGCACATGACCTTTCATTTTCTATCTCTGTATACAAGAGGGGCCATAGGATAAGGAAGACAAGGTTCTTTGGGTGAATCTGATACCTTTTATTAGACCAACTTAAATAGTTGGAAACAAAATTTCTTAACAAGCTTTCAGGTTTAAAAACCCTTCGTCGGGCTGAGGAAGCATCTGCAGTTGGTGTGTGCTCTTCCTGTATGGAATGAATAGTAAAGAAGCCAGAGGCTGGTATGAATGCAAGAAAGGCAGCCAGTGAAGATGTAAATTGAAGCGTCAGTGGGTGAAAGACATAGGATAAGGATACTGATAAGAACAGGAGAACTCCCTCTCTCCAGTGAGTTACTGTGAGTTGAGGATGTATTTGGTAGCCATGTTGGTCTGAGACAAAAAGAAATGAAAAAATCTAGAACCCTTTTATTAGACCAACTAGGAAATTGAAAAAAAATAATTATTTTTCTGCAAGCTTTTGGGCTCACATGCCCTTCATCAGGCTCTGGGAAAATTAAAGATGGTAAAAAGTTCCCATAGGTAGGAAACAAACTTAATTTTTTACAGAGGGACCTGGAGATAGAAAATCTGTCCCTCTGGGTCCATGAGACTGTCTCTGTGAGTTGTTCTGAGTTGCTCTTTGTTGTGTAGATCAGGTAGGATTCCTTCTCTGGAGGTGTCAGATGGCAAGCAGGAAGGTTTAAAAATCTTTCTTGTTGTTCTGCAATGAAGTTAAAAATCCAAAATTTGCTAAAATTCAGCATTTTCCATGTTTCAGGGATGTATTTGGTAGCCACGTTGGTCTGAGACAAAAATAAATGCAAAAATCTAGAACTCTTGATTCAGAAATGATACCTTTTATTAGACCAACTAGGAAATTGCAAAAAAACATTCTTTTTCTGCAAGCTTCTGGGCTCAAATGCCCTTCATCAGGCTCTGGGAAAATTAAATATGTGAGCTGAGGAAGGAGATAAAGAGGCCTGATGATGAGGGTTTGGCTTTTGAATTGATGGATGTGGCAGCTGAGATGAGCCAATCCCTATTTTAAGCCTGCACAGGCAAAGCTCAGGGATGAGTCTCAGGAGCTGCAGAAAGATAAAGAGCCAGCAAGCACACAAACAACTCAGAGCACAAACAGTTCCCCCTGCATCTCTCTGCTCTGCTCTTGGGCCAGCCCAGGGAGGACTGCTCCTTTGCCCTCTCCAGGCAGCCTGGAGCCCTGGGAATGCTCACCCCAGAGATGCAAATGGCCTGATTCTGAGGACAGGCTGTCACTGTCAAGGGAAACTCCTCCTCAGGTCCCCAGCCACTGTCTTTCAAGGGAACTCTGACAGGGATGAAATCTCCTCACATGACCTCCCCCTTTTCCAGGGCTCCTCTGGGGGTACTGGGATGTTATGTTCAACTCAATCCGGTTTCCAAAGGGATGGGGCTACTGCCAGCCTTGGTAAGTCAGGCTGAAGAGCAGTG